ACTCAGCTTGTAATATTCATCTTTTGGAAAACTGATGATGGCGCCATTGGATAGTACCAGACCATTCCATTACATACTTCAGTGACTCTTTCTCTCTGTTTTAATCTTATGGGTTAGCATGTAGCATGCATATTATTAATATCAAGCAATTGTATACAAATTTAATTTTTCTATACGAATATTTCAGTTTTAGAGTATATTTTAGCATATAGATCAGCCCATCAACATTATATATGTTAATTTATTTGCATGCTAAAATCTACCCAGAGCTTCGTGGCCAATCAGAATGCTCCATTACATTGTTTTTACACCAATTTAAATAGGGAATTTTGTATACACGCTACCCGATACTATCGAACAAGATCTCTTGTCCTTGGAGTCAACAACTCGCACAGTAAATAAGTACTAGTAGTTTATAAAGGGTAGCAGTTTCAATAAATATTGATAAGGTATATTGGAGGCAATTAATTACCTTTTCGCAATACATGTGGTATCAATATATATTCCTAATACCAAACCAAGAGAGGCACGTGATAGAGTTGTTGACCTGAAGTTAGGGGGTCAACTATGCAGAACAGTGTATTATAAATACAAGTACTGGTATATGGAGTTTTATAATGCTTTATGCTATCATGGCATTGCTCTGATTTTATCTCCCCTCGGTATGTAAGCCATATTCAATAGGTGATTTTCCGTACAATTGCGAGATCTCGCGAGATGCATGAAAGACGCGCGTCGAACGTCTGACGCAAAAATCGAACGATTTGATTTTGAACTAGAATTTCTTTATTTCGTAGCTTACATTGACCGGCCGATCTTCGACAGAGGAATATTGCTTCCGAATACCCTTACATAATCGAAATTGCCTATCATCAAATGTGGACAGCACAAGTCATTATTAAGCATGGAAATGTCCCCGAAATACTTTCGCGTTTGTCGAATCCCACGCGATGTTTGACGCGCCTACGACGCTATGACCTTTGTTTGTCCTGTTTTTACGTTCGATTTCACGCATAACGCGTGATTCTCGCAGTGAACGGAAAATGGTCTATTGGTAGCATAACATCATGATCATACCAAATTCACATTTTCCCGTAGTGTATAATTTGTTGGGGGGGGGGGGTAGGTTGAACAGTATATGGAAATAGTGTGACATAATATGCAATGACACGTGATAATAGACATGTTTCATTAAAAACTCGTACAATTTGTAATCAGTTTTCACAATACTTCTCATTTAACACGTAAAATTGTATACTTGAATATTAAATGATTAAGACAATTACGTCATTGTTTTACTTGAATATTGCACTATCCCAACATTGTCTAATTGTTAAATGTTTATTCATAGGATCTAAATATACCCATAGATCATAGCTTAGATTATTCATTTATTTATGTATTTAAAAAGGTGGATGAGGTGATAACAAAATAAATACACACTGTCTAAAAATTACTCCGTCAAAGAAGGGACCACAATGCATTGTTTCAAATCATAGATGAAACGCCTAAACTGCCGTACTCCGCGTTTCAACCACGGTTTCATATGAAGGAGGCGGACAAGATGGCACATCGGTTTGAGTTTGGATCTCGTAAGATGCACCATCCATCGGGTCAACACTCCGCTGTGTGTCGCCATATGATGGTGGCGGCGCTTCGGGGTCTATGAATGACGTTGGAGCAGGCGTTTGAGATAGCATCCGGTTCGACATATTTACGTTCTGTTCTCCGGGCGCTTCTTCGACGTGATGGGAAGCATGTTGCTCAGTATCTCGGCCTTGCTCACTAATAGTCAATTGAAAAGGCTCCTGCGCTCCGTTTTGAGAAACATTATGGTTATTATTAACCGGTGAGTCTGTCGTGCGACGAGTACATGTTTTACAAGCTTTGTAAAGTCTGAAACAATTGCAGGCAGTTTTTAGTTCCTGAAAGTCGACATAGTCACATCCGGGGCCTCTGCAGCACGTGATGGCATGTCCCATCATGTTGAACGCAACATCAAGACATTCACGCATCATCGCCCTCAACTCAACACAGAATGCGTTCTTGCACAGTATTAAAGGTGCGACGATGGCGACAGCAATAACAACCAAAATCCCCTCTTCAGTGATGAATTTCACAATCGCTGAGAAAAGAAAAGAATAATATTCAAATGATTTCAATAATAATCGACGATTCGAAAAGCAAAACACACCGTTAGAAGCCTACTCATAATTTTTTGGGGAAAGTTGGTCATAAATCTCATGAAAATGTTCATTGGTTTATTGTGTAAAATCATGGAGATATTATTGTGTGGCATATTTTGCGAAATTTGTTCTAATATTTTTTTCAAAAATGGCTATTATAATTTTAGAACAATTCTACAGAACACACTATTAAAGAAAAGTGCATGTTTTGACACTTTACAGACAAAATGGCCACTATCCACTAAAATATAACCATTATTTTTCTCGAAAATTAGGATGTTGACCCCCCCAACTATTTTAAGTCAATATCCTTATACTACCCGGCAGTACAATTTTGTGCAAAATTCTGTTTGTTTTTTTATTCATGAGATGGCGTCTACATTAAGTCGCGCCCTCTATCGACGCTTCACTTATTTGGCGTTAGTGAATGAATAAATATTTATGAAAACAAGTCGTCAGAGCGTTGTGAAGATACCACAAAGCTGCACAAAAGCAGCTAAATTAAATTGTTCAAGTAATAAAAACCAACGCACCGTTTTTTATCACATGGTCTTCATTGAGGGTGATGTTACGATACGTTGGTGAGGGGGTTACCCCTGTATCGAGAGTTTCGCCAAGGGCAGTGTCCACTGTTACGGGAAAACAATAACAAGACCAATGAGTCAG